TATAGGTACTACATGTGGACCTCTCTCAGATTTGTTCATTTTGTAATGATATCTTTAATTCTCTAATTTCGGTGAATATTTTTGTAATTTTTGGTAAAAAGTGATATTTTCGACTTCTTGTTGAAAACCGCAAGTCCAATTGCTTTGATATTACATATATAGGTACTACATGTGGACCTCTCTCAGATTTGTTCATTTCATGATGATATCTTTAATTCTCTAATTTTGATGAATATTTTTGTAATTTTTGGTAAAAAGTGATATTTTCGACTTCTTGTTGAAAACCGCAAGTCCAATTGCTTTGATATATTATACATATAGGTACTACATGTGGACCTCTCTCAAATTTGTTAATTTTCTAATGATATCTTCTGTTCTTTAATTGCCATGTGCATTGCTAACAGCGGAGCTATCTCAGCCGACAGGCTGCTTGTTTTTTAATAGTTTTTTGATATTATTTATTTTGATGTTACAATTATTTTGCTGCAAGAATTGTTTTTAGAGATTTGATTTGTGAAAGCCACAGGTGCAGCAAATTTTTGTTAAAACTAATATTAAAATTAATATTATAAATTAATATACTGTCCTGTTAGTTATCGAATCCGAGTTATATAGTTTTGTTTATAGTGATATAGTACAAGTACTTGTCCATATGTACATAACTTCATTGATTAAAACAAAATGGCCATCGGTTGACCATTTTGAATCTGATCGTCAAAACAATACAACTATATATCTATGACATGATGTATAATGATGTATCAGTCGAAGCATGTCAGAGATATGGCTCTAGAACCGCATTCATTTAAACAAAATGGCCACCAGTCAGTCATTTTGAATATGATCTGAAAAACAATATGACAGGTATCAGGGACCCATAATGTCTAATGTATGAACTAAGTTTGAATGAAATTCATCCATAAGTGACCGAGATCCGGTTCCGGAATGCCAGAAATGCTTGAATCTTTGATGATTTTTAGCACAAAAATGGCAACCATTCAGCCATTTTGAATAAGATCGTCATCAATACAGCTGTATATCTATTACATGATGTTTAATGAATATATAAAATTTGAACATCATCAGTCAGAGATTTGGCACTAAAACCACATTCTTTAAAACAAATTCATAATTGTCTTGATTTTGATGATTTTTCAGTACAAAAATGACCGCCATTTAGCCATCTTGAATCAGATCGTGAAACAATGTTCATATGTATGATATTATGTACAATGTACGTATGAAGTTCGAATGTAATCGGTCCAGGCATGTCTAAGATATAGATTCAGACACATAGAAGTCAATCCATAAGTCCCTGTTTTCTGACTGAGTTCGAACAGGGACTAAAAATATATTAAAATTAAATTAAAAAATTAAGTCAACCATGTTCTTATTTTATTTCATTTCAATTGACCATAAACTTAGATTTATAATTCTCACCCATTCAGGTATCAGTTAAATTCAGTTTCAAGCAATCATTTAAAATAAAAAGAATCCATATCAAGGATTTTTATGTAAAAACTGAGATGATTTCAGTTCCTTGTTTTTTTTTTTGGCAAAATGCAGAATTCTCCATAGATCCTCATTAAAAATCCATGATGAATTCTATACAGGAATGTAAATTGCGACATTAGAGTCTTAATTGTAGGGGTAGTTAGAGGGGCAATATTATTCCTGACAGAGGGGGAATGTGGCTACAATCTGAAAAGTTAATTCGGCTAACAATTTGAAATCAGATGGAAAGTTATCTGCATCACAGAGTTGCAAAAATTCCAATTGAAAACAAATGTATATGCTGTACCCCCTACCCAATCTTAAATAAGGGTTCTATCTTTATATTCCATCTTGACGTATCAGAAATGGTCAATATTGAGTATCCATGTCTAAATGCAAGATTTTCAAGAAAACATGTGAAATATTCAAACAGTTCAAAAGAGTTCTTTCAGTAATAACAGTCACATAAAATTAAATGAAGCCCTCATTTGCAGAGAAATAAGTATCGATTTCCAGCTAAAAAATATGACTTCTACTCAGTCTCTAGTTTATAACATGCCATAATGAATAAATCAAAATGCAAGTATAAGAAACTTATTGATGAAACAATTTCTCTGATTACCTACTTGGTCTAAAAAAATTAGTCATTTTCCAATCTAAGCAAACATACTATTCAATATTTATCTCATAACGAAATTAAAAGTTCATGTAAATTGCAGGCTAACTTTGTTAACATTATGGAAGCTTCTTAATGCTATATCTGCATGTGTGTGTACTTTGTCTAGTAGCAACTTGGTTTTAGTCATTAGTACGGTATATATACTAACCTGGTACATAATTATGTGTACCGGTAACTATCTTAATGGTTTTCTTCAGCGTTTGTGCTGAATAAGCTCACAAAATATCACCCCTCTCTCCATCTTTAAAAACTTTGTTTCAACTAATACTTTTGAATTATTGCTACTGCCATGGGGGATAATTATTATGCAGTCTTTCTCCTACAAAGATGGCATAGGCATGTATCCACTGCCGACTGGATAAGGGGTATTATGGCCACTTCCATACGCAAATGGTGTGTAACTTTGCGCTGAAGGAGGACACACTTGCTGCTGTGTTTGTTTCTGGTTTCTTATCTCCATCATCTTCTCAGCGTTAATCCGCCGTATATGCGCTTCTTTTCGCTTTGCAATATACTGTTCAATGAACGTTTTAGCTCCAAGGTTGCCTTCGAGGAAATTGTCAGCAATTCTCTGTGCCAAGGAAGAAAAAAGAAGAATTTTGATTATAAAATTGATGTTAGAGGGTTTTTTTTTCAGAAGTTCAAGTTTACTTATAAGTGATCTTATATATGGGTGCAAATAACAGAATATTATGTAATTGTAAACAAAACCAATCCATGCTAGACATGTCATGATGATAATTAATTCTGTTAATTCATCGCTAATTTTAGACCAAAGTAAAATTTACGGGCACCATTCAGGAGCTTTTGTCAATCAATCTGAATGCAATTTGCATAGGAAATTGGACAGAAAGTGGCATAATTGGATTTTGTTTACAGGATTTTATAGAAACTAATTCTGATGAACCTTTTGAAGGAAATAGTGGGCTGTTTTCAATTTTATGTAAAACAGTTATTAGATAAAACATGCAAAAATTATGAATATTCATGACAATGTAATATGTATTAATGCTAAGTGCTTATCTCCAGATTTGTCTTTGCAAGACATGCCTACTCAACACAAAATTCTTTTATGGGAAGCAAAATACCATATCTCATTAATTATGAAAGCGGGACACGCCCACTTTAATATTTCCTCATCTATGAACTCATGAAATGCATGAAATTACTGCAGCATGGCAAGGAAATCTTGGTGAATCAACAATGTGTGTCAAAACACTGCTCAAGTATTTGCAACTAAAATTTAGACAAAGGTACGCCAAAATGATCACCAATATTTGGAGGTGTAGAAAATTTAAATAATAGTCTATGATAAAAAATCAAATAATCTCAATTATGAGAGAATCATAATTTTTTCGCTGAAATTTTGTTGAAATATTTTGCCTATTTTTGAATATTTTTCTAAAACTTTAGATCGAATATACATAATGTTCTATTGGCTACATAACTTGATCACATTTTTTGAAAGAAAATGAAAACATGCAGCCTCTCGGCTGAGATAGCTCCGCTGTTAGCAATGCACATTTCAATTAAAGAACAGAAGATATATTAGAAAATGAACAATATGCATAGTATCAATGCAATAGGACTTGCTGTTTTAAACAAGAATTCAAAAATATCATTTTTCACCATAAATGATTGTGGTTTTTAACAAGAAAATATCACTTTTTTACCAAAAATGACAAAAATATTCACCAAAATTAGAAAATTAAAGATATCATCATGAAATGAACAAATTTGAGAGTGGTCCACATGTAGTACCTATATATGTAATATCAAAGCAATCGGACTTGCGGTTTTTAACAAGAAGTCGAAAATATCACTTTTTACCAAAAATGACAAAAATATTCACCAAAATTAGAGAATTGAAGATATCATCACGAAATGAACAAATCTGAGAGAGGTTCACATGTAGTACCTATATATGTAGTATCAAAGCAATTGCACTTGCGGTTTTTAACAAGAAGTCGAAAATATCACTTTTTACCAAAAATGACAAAAATATTCACCAAAATTAGAGAATTAAAGATATCATTACAAAATGAACAAATCTGAGAGAGGTCCACATGTAGTACCTATATATGTAATATCAAAGCAATTGCACTTGCGGTTTTTAACAAGAAGTCGAAAATATCACTTTTTACCAAAAATTACAAAAATATTCACCAAAATTAGAGAATTGAAGATATCAACATGAAATGAACAAACCTAAGAGAGGTCTACCCAAGGTACATATACACCAAGTATCAAAGCATTCAGGCTTGTAGTTTTCAAGAAGAAGTCGAAAAAGTAAAACATTGACCTGGACGACGACGACGGACAATCACTCATATGATAAGCTCCGCTCGACAAAGTCGACAGCGGAGCTAAAAAATTTAAACCAAAATTAGAGAATTGAAGATATCATTACAAAATAAACAAATCTGAGAGAGATCCACATGTAGTACCTATATATGTAATATCAAAGCAATTGGACTTGCGGTTTTTAACAAGAAGTCGAAAATAACACTTTTTACCAAAAATATTCACCAAAATTAGAGAACTGAAGATATCATCACAAAATGAGCAAATCTGAGAAAGGTCTACATGTAGTATCTATATATGTAATATCAAAGCAATTGAACTATTGGCTTTTAACAAGAAGTTGAAAATATCACTTTTTATCAAAAATGACAAAAATATTCACCAAAATTAGAGAATTAAAGATATCATTACAAAATGAACAAATCTGAGAGAGGTCCACATGTAGTACCTACATAAGTAATATCAAAGCAATTGGACTTGCGGTTTTTAACAAGAAGTCGAAAATATCACTTTTTACCAAAAATGACAAAAATATTCACCAAAATTAGAGAATTGAAGATATGATCATGAAATGAACAAATCTGAGAGAGGTCTACCCAAGGTACATATACACCAAGTATCAAAGCATTCAGGCTTGTAGTTTTCAAGAAGAAGTTGAATAAGTAAAACATTGACACGAACGACAGACGCCGAACGACGACGGACAATCACTCATACGATAAGCTCCGCTCGACAAAGTCGACAGCGGAGCTAAAAATTGAAGCAGGTTTTATTTTGTGAAAAGTGTCAAAAGTTGACATTGTCACTAGGATTAACAAAACAAGAGTTGTTGGCGATCCGCTCCGCTAGGATTGCCCTTCTAATCACTTTTGTCGTTTTGTGTGTCTGTGTGTGTACATTTCCAGTGTTTTCACGTATGATTTCTTCTGTGATTTTTTTGGCTTGGCCGATTTCTTTCAAACTTGGCAGGTAGTTATTATGAAAAATCTGAAAAAATTGTTTGGTCCACCGTTGCCATAGCAACAGCCAAAAAACTGATTTTTGGATAGCTTCGCGCCAAATGTATCTCCTCCTACAAATTTGGGATAAAACACTTCAGACATAGCTCATTCTACTCAGCTTGAGTGTGGGCACAAAGTTACTATTTGAATTTTTGATATCTGTTTTCATTACCGAGAAATTTGACCCCAAAGTTGGGGTAACTTTTCACCAGCAACAGCTTTTAACTCCTCTGTGATTTTTTCGGCTCGGCTGATTTTGTTCATAGGTCGTGCCGTCACTAATTGGAAAAAAATCCTGGCCCACCACTGCCATTGCAACATTCAAAAACTTATTTTTGAATACTTTCGCCCCAAATGTATTACCTCCTACCAGTTTTGTACACAGACAGCTGGCATCTGTGTTGCTGGGTGTATATGATAAAGGGAAGTTGTGCAACCAAATTTGCCGAGTTCGCAGTTTTTCGCCAATAAAAAAATAACTAAGGCAACAACTCACG